CACAATGGGTACATGACTCATCCACAAACGCTGCCTCAGCGTGTTTAATGCCCAGACACACGAGGCAGCGCTTGTGACCATCCTGTGAGCCCAGGTAACGACCGCATCCAGAAACACACAGATAGAAAGACATCTTTAAAAAGACGCTCTTTATCTGTGTAAGCTCTTTTAGGGACAACTCTCACTGGTGCTGAAGCACGCAGGGGAACAGTCACTGCGAACACAGACGGGAATGTGCACCCGTCTGCGCGCTGTCTCTCTCTCTCACTGGCAGGTCTTACCGGCTGTAAGAACAGCCTTTGAGCGCTGAACTGCGCACCTTACCAGCTGTTAAAACAGCTTTTTTGAATTTGGTCAAAAAAACAAAACAAAAAAGACAGACAGAAGAGAGAGGACACAAGACTGCTCGCGCTGCCGTGCTGTAACGCCCGCACCGAACAAGGAGAGATCCAACGAAGGCTTGCCAAGTTTTCACACTCTGTAGGATTACCATGAAGCGTTTGGCTCCGAAGCAAAAAGCTAGTGTGCAATCATAACAGCTGCTGTTAAATACCCGCGCTGACGAGGACGCGCAGCTGATGCAAATGATTGCATGCCAATGTGCATTGGCTTGTTTTAGTTTCACTCGAAGTAGATTGGCCTCTCTAGCGAGATTCCTATTGGTCAGTCTGACCTACGTTGTAGTGACTGACCGATAGGGAACAAAAATTATTTCCGGACTATATATCAGTTCCATCAGATTTTGTGCTGCAAAACATTCATGAGTCATGACAGCTGTTATTTTGTCCATGCTGGCAAATTAATCATGTAAACAGATATTGGATACCAGTCCTGTCTAAAGTGAATGTAAACAGGCAGGCCAAAAAATCGGATATGGTCAAAGATCGGATCTGTGCATTAAGACTTGCAGACCATAATTTGATAGTAAAACATAAAGTGTTGCACATTTTATTGGTGCAAAAATGAGTAGGGTTTGTGTATTTTGTACAACATTTGCAACTGCTTTTTAATCACGTAATTAGAAGCACCACAATTTTTAAATTGTATCTTCTGTTAGTTACATAGCAGCCACTGAACAGACATTTATTTTAAAATGCAAAGTATTGAAAATAAAAAAGCTTTGTAAACACTTGCATTTTTTGCAACACTATAAGTGTGTCCCATCGGGTAATAAAATGTTCTATACACACTTACAGTCTTCACGCATACTTGAACACTTGGGACAAATATAGGAAATACACGTCATGTAAGACAAGTGGAAAGTGCAAAGACCGCAAGTATGCGTATTTGGACAGGGCAAAACTCTAATTGTGAACAAGCAAACTCAAACCGTGACACCATCTCCTTCCTTTATCACCATCCTCTGATGTGACAATAATAATCAGAAATGTTTCTTTAGCATCAAATCAGCATATTATAATGATTTCTGAAGGATCATGTGACACTGAAGACTGGAGCAATGATGCTGAAAATTTGACATTTAAAATATATTAATGTATAAAAAAGTTTATATTGTAATAATATTTCACAATACTACTGTTTTACATTTATATTTGATTAAATAAATGCAGCCTTGGTGAACATAAAATACTTCTTATAAAAACATAAAAAAAATCTTGTTACACTTCATGTTGATTGCCCACTTCAGACATTCTACTAACTGTGAGTTACTTTACAACAAATCAACAAGGAGTCATTAGAGTATTAGTAGACTGTCTGCTTAATATCTGATAACACTTTATTTTGATGCTCCCCAAAAGACATTCTACTGACTATAAGTAACTTTGCAAGTACATGTCAACTTATTATACCAACCCAAAGCTAAACCCCTAACCCTATAACCTAACACCCTACTCTACAGTCTACTCTAATGAGAGTTAGTTGACATGTAGGTTTCAATAAATCAAGTTTATTGGAACAGTTTATTATTCTTTACGTAGAAACGTGTACTCATTGGATAAACTAAAAGGGACGTGACATTTTGAAGACGAAATACTCCAAGACACTAAAAAACCTTTAATTAGCTGGGCTAAATCATTAAAAACAATTAAAACTGTAGATCTATGCGTTTCGGCTACACAACCTTCTTCAGGATCCTGAAGAAATGACTCGGGTCTGGCCTCCTCCACTAACAGAGGAAGAACAATTGTCATTGCATTCTGTTGGAGCCATTTGTTGCATGGCAAAGTTTTTGTTGTCTACTACAGTATGATTTGTTTGCATCTACATCCGTCTGCATGAACATCCGTCTGTTCTAAACTTACTCTTATTATCAACGGCAACGGCTTTGGAAAGCCATTACAAATTCATTCAGCAAACATATAGCTTCATAAAGTCTTCAGATTAATTTAGAAATCCTGAAGAAGGTTGTGTAGCTGAAACCCGTAGATCTACACTTATAATTGTTTTTGATGATTTAGCCCAGTGAATTAAAGGCATTTTAGTTTACCACGTAAGTGCCTTGGAGTATTTCGCCTTCATATTTTTTTATTTGTTAGACCTTTTCTTTTCATTTCTTTTCTTTTCTTTTGCATATAAAATGTCTTGTACCTTTCCAGTTGGACTTTTACAGTTCCATAACTCCACTTTAAAAAATTCATAGTTTTATATAGCCTTGTGCAAGAGCAATATGGCTTTTATTTTTCTGTTCACAAAACTAAGATAAGGGTTAATGAATGTTGCATACAAAATTCTGTCTTTTCCTGAAACCCAATTCATGCATAAACATGACGTGCTCAGCTGGATTACTGTAACTTCATTAGTGATCAACAGATCAGCCAAGCCAGTGCCTTTACTTACCCTTTTATCAACATTTATTAGTCATCTTTACAGACTTTGAACTCTCGGTTTGTAATTATCAAGGACTTAATGTGAAGGACTTAATTAAATCAAGAATGACCAGTTTCATCTTTTAAACCCATTGACCAATACAATAAAAATATTTAATCTATTATAACAGCCTGATATGTGCTAAAGGTCCAACATATATACTTTTGTCCAAAGTTATGATCTTCTTTTAGCAATTCTGTTACTTAAAGATAAAGCTCTTGTGTTACACAACTCGCTTACACACAACCTTTGGAGTTAATGTACTGTGTGATGTGAGGACAGCTTCCAATAAAACCCAAATACTATAGTTTCAAAGCCTTTTACATTGATAGTCAATGCAACATATTGATAGTAAATGCAGTAAATGTAACATTTGCATTAAATATCCGTGTCTAGGTTCCTTACAGGCACTGAGAATACACAGATACTGCTCTCAATTTACAAGGTCATAATAACAGTAGCTTTATGGAGCTGTTCAGCATTATTATAGATGATCTTCTTTAGTACATTGAGCTTTGATGCTAGACCGTGGTTGCAGCAGGACATTGTAGTCATCTTTATGGCTGTCTAACAGACACTAAGTCTTCCAAAACAGTCTATTGGGAGATAATCTCAAGGTCTTGAAATATTGTTTCTGAACGCATGCATCCCCCTTCAGGAATACTTGTGGAATTTAGTATTTCTACACATGCCCTGGGCCATAATTCATGTCAAAGACAGCTCGGGCATCTGCATTCTTCAAACAAATGTCAGGGTTCTCCTGAGATTTTCTGATTATTACATAACTTATCAATTAAACTCAATTGGACTTTAATTTGACAGTGGCCATATTATGGTTTAAATCAAGATAATACCTTTAATGACAAACTTCCTTGTTCCTGAATATGAACTTTTATCTTTTTTTTCAATGACCGACTTATGGATTTTGACCTCAATAAAAAACAAAGTCCATTCATTCTACATTATCATCTAGCTTACCCATAGTAATTTGTGCTATTTCTGTATAATAACATCTGGCAGGACATCAAGTTACAGCCTGAAAAGAAATATAAAGTAACAAACGTGATACGACTTATCTGAGATTCTAAGTTTACCCCAGTACAAATGAATAATTACTTACTAAAATATCTAACCTATTCATGTTACTAAAAAGAACATAATTTGATTGTTTTAACCCTTAAATGCATGAATGTTTCGACAATCATTATTACATATTCGGGTGTTTAGCTACCCTGATCTATATCTAACACGGATGGATCTCTACCTGTCGCGATAATATAAAACTCTCCTTATATTAGAGTAACAATTACAGAATAATAAAATAAAGCATTTTTGTTACCTTTTGGAGCTTGGAAGGGTTCAGTTTGAGCAGATGTTTTATACCATTAGCACTGTCCTCATCAGAGCTCATTTCCCAGTACATTCAGCATCTGGCTCATATTCGCAATCTCAAACATGTTCTCAAAACTATCATTTTCAATATCTTCCAAATCAATATTTTGATCACTGACAGCTTCTTCAGCAGATCCACCATCAAGTGACAGAGACACTAATATTTGATTGCGTTCAGTACTTGCTCTGCAGTAAATCTCTGAGCCATTTCACACTACATTCACAGCGACTAATCGAGTTTAGTAAGCAAAGTTATAGTTCTTATTCCTCCAATTATTTCAGCACCTTGTTCAGCACACCTGTCATATGAATTGAACAGACTTTTTCCACAACTTTTGATGCAAATATTTCTGTAATGGGGTTGAAGGCCTAGCTCAATGCTCTTATACAGTATACGAATGTTTAAAGTGGAAATAATCTCTATTTTTCCTCTTTAGAATGTTAAAGACTGAACTGAACATCAGCCGTTTCAATATAAACAGCTAGCTTAGATGCTCAGACAGTGAAATCAATAGTAGCCAGCTCAATAGTAGTTCAATACTATATTAAGGCCACAGAAACAGTCCTGCTTATTACCATTCTGTTAGCCTTATGCAGTTCAGACCTCATTGGGTTACATCTTTGTTAAACTCTTAACTTTAAATCAGCTTATATAGGCTTTAATCGTAACATGCAGGACTACATGTAACAGAGCAACTTTGTAGTTCTAATCATTGATTCTTTCAGACTAAACAAACAGGGTGACTTTTGGAACCATCGATCGGCACAGATGTCTCTGTCGTTCTTTCACACTGGTGTTTCTAGAGCAGTTTAGGCACTCACTGCTGAGTGCTGACAGATGTGGCATTAAAAATGAAATTTGTGATTTTATTATCCCTTGTTTTGGCGACTTGTTTCGCTGCGGAGGGTAAGTGCCTCAAAAACTGCTTCGTTATTATTAGACTGCTGGTTTATTCTCGTTGACTTTCAGAAAAATTCACATTTTACGGCATTTTCCACAGAAACATGCACGGGACGCTGTCAGAGTGGCTTTGATCCTACAAAGAAATGCCAGTGTGACAGAATGTGCAAGTACTATGGAAGCTGCTGTGAGGATTTTGACAGCACTTGTCGGACAAAAAGTAAGAACTTGATGCACATTCAAATAGTAATTAATGTCAAACTTTTATTTGTGTATTTTAATGCACGCTACGGTTCAAATGTTTGAAGTCTGTAAGATGTTTTAGAACGTAGTCTCTCGTGCTCAACAAGGCTGCATTTATTTTATTAAAAATATAGTAACAACAACAGTAATATGTTGAAATACACTGCCTGGCCAACAACAACAACAAAAAAACTCTGTTTGGATTTAAATAGGCAAATGCTTAAGAGTCTATGATTGGATCATTATTGCAGTGATTATTATGTTTCTAGCATGTTATATGTGTGGCAAAAGTTCTTCTAACCCTAATTGATGGAGTGTGTAGCTTTTCATTTCTTAAACGGCCATGTAGAAAGACGTATCATGGCCATATTCCAGGAGATTTTGACCAAACATCTATGAACTATTGAGCTTGTTAAAGCTGAAGTGTGTTTTACTATATCCAGTTTTTTTTCTATAGGCAACTATAAGTCCACAATTCATGGGATGATTTCCCTGAAAAGTGTAAACACTGTGGTTCTACATACATTGCTCTGTTTATTTGAGCAGTCCTGCAGCAACACTGGCTCAACCAATGGTGTGAGATTGGGGAGGGGCTTTCTGTTTTCACTGACCAATGGTAGATGAGGGGAGTGTGAGAAACGTGTTTACAACAAGGTTTCGCAACAACTGTGTGCACTTTTGGCCCTTTGTGGACTAATAAACCTTTTAAACTTTTCACAATCCCAATAGTTATTTATTTCTCTACTAACAATTCAATATATACATGTATTACATGACAATTCTGTCTCTTTGTGGTCTTTTCTGAAACAGACATTAAATCTTCCAGTATAATTTTCTTAAATTATGCATTGCTTAATGACGTTCCTTGATGGAAATGAAAATTATAAACATTTATGTATACTAAATACACACAATTAAATATAATTTTCAATCTTTTTGTCATTTAACTTTATTTTTATTTTTAACTTAACTAAATAATACAAATTCAAAACATAAGACATACAACATATACACAAAGAAGAAAGAAAATATTAAATACACACTAAGCAACCAGAATGACAGTGTGAGAAACCATTTCTCCATTTGTTTTCAGAATAATCTAGAAACCACCCCATCTTTGATAAAAAAATATTGTCTGAAGAGTCATGAAGTTTCACCAGCATTTGTTCATTTGAGGAATTATTATTTTCACACATTTTACAAATTTACAGCTTGATTGGAAATTGGATATACAATATGCTGTTCACAAGTGATACATTTACAATGATTCCTTGATTTTGCTGTTTTCTTCACACATCACATGTCTCTTATCTCAAACTTGCACTTCACTGACTCTATGTTCTTAGTCAAGAACTAAACTTTGATAAAACTTTATTACTCACAAAATTGTGTGTTGTGGAAGAAGTGACGACTGTGGGGTGAGCGGGGCACAAACTAACACGAGGCTACTTTTGTAATACACATGGTTTAAAACTTTCCACACGTGCCAGCATGACAAAATTTACTGTATTTTCTATTTGCCATATCAACACTATAAAATTTTTAAATTGTGCCAAAAGTAAAAAAAAACACTCAAATCACTGAACATTTATTTAACCATAGTAAATTTCTTACTGAAGAGAATTTTTCATGTCTGTTTTTTGTGTTTATTAAAAAATAGATAATCTGATATTATTACATTTTTTATATATTTGTTATTTAACAGTTGAGATAGTTTTTTAATGCTTAGCTAACAAGCACTAGACAGGTTTAAATCCCAGTTGCGCAGATGGGGCATGTTGTAACATGTCGTAACATGACAAAATATTTTAGTTGGTCTTGTATATTTTTTTTATTAGATCAGACAACATTTGAAGCTGGCATATGGTCATGTTACATTGTGCCCCACCTTTGGGGCAACATTTGAAGCTGGCATATGGTCATGTTACATTGTGCCCCACCTATGGGGCATGTTGTCACATTTCACTTCCATTCTTTCAGGGTAAATCAAGAAAAAAAAAACTATACACTGAATTAATGAAACAAAACCACATAATTGTACTAGACATTAAAAAAAAAATACTCTGAACCTCAAGTGAATTTACTCAAACTGAGAAAGTCAAAAAGTGTTTGAAATAAACAAACTAAAAGTCCATGATAATGAAACAGAACGTGTTAAACGTGACAAAACAAATTCTAAAATCTGTTTCTTTTCACTAAAATCAACCCCTGGAACAAACACACTTAAGGAAGAACCCTACCTCTTGACTCTATTTTGAAGAACCCTTTTTTTAAAAAGGTTCTAAGGAGAAATGTCTTAAAATATTGTTTACGAGCTGTTTCATTTATAAAAAATGAGTTACGATTAAAAATGAACTTGAAAAAGTAATTCATTAAAACTAAATCCATATAATGATCCCATGATATGAACCCCTAAAAGGTTCTAAGTGCCTGACAGAACTGTTTAAGGTTCTATATAGAACCTTTTCTTCTGAGTGTATAAAGTTCCTGAAATTCTGTTTGGTGAAAGTATACATTTCACTTTTAATGTCTTAAAGAGAAACATTGTGAAAATGCTGTAGGCCTACTAATTGAAGGTTAAATTGTTCCTCAGTTGCCCGAGGTGACATGTTTGATGTGCCTGAGGAGGATCTGACCTCTTCAGTGACACCGACAGTGGAATCGAATGTGACAGTCACCACCTCTTTGCCCCTTACCACCACAACTCCCACTCCTGTGTCTCCTACACTTCCACCCGATCCCGACGCCGTCACCTGTAGCGGTCGCACCTTTGACGCATTCATGCAGTTGAAGAATGGCTCAATGTTTGCATTCAGAGGTGAGTTCAGAGGTTGAATGCAATCACTATGGCTTTTTCTCAGTTCAAGTACAGTTTTTCTACACAAGACTCTGTTCATTTGTGTTCCAGGAGACTATTTCTTTGAGTTAGATGACAGATCTGTCATCCCTGGGTATCCCAAACTCATCAAGGATGTGTGGGGCATCTCTGGGCCTATTGATGCTGCTTTTACGCGCATCAACTGCCAGGGAAAAACGTACATATTCAAGGTCTGTTTATTGATTTTATTTAGTATGAAAGAGGATATTTAATGTTTTGTTACATTTTCAGCTTTCTGTAGTGTGTAATGTTGCGGTTTGAGAATGAAAAATGTCTGCAAAGTTACAAAGCACAGTCACTCCAAAGGGAGTTATTCTCTATATCAGTGCGCACTCTTTCTGAACTCCCTAAAATGCCTTGATTGGAGTTTTCTGGGAACAAACACCAAGTCATACACAAAAAAAGGGAGGAGGTCTGGTGGAGTTGCATTAGTAGTGTGCTGAAATTTGCGGTTATGTTAATGGGGGGTGACGTTTCTGAAACATGCTTGAAGCGTTTGACCAATCAGAACACACTGGTCCAGCTGACTAATCAGAGAACATTGTGCTTATCAGAAGGAGGGACTTTATAGTGACAGGAACTAAACAGAGCGTTGCTGACAGACTGGGAAGAGAGGTGCTGCAACAATCTCAAATATGTGAAAAATGTTTGTTTTTTTCAACATTCAAGCATGAAAACCTATTTTAATAGACCCCTAATACAAAATCAAGACTAAAAGGGCATACTTTGTCCTCTTTAAGAGTTCAATGACTTGACACTCTTCAAATACATTTATTCAAAATTATATAAAAGATATTGCAATTCATACATAGAGTAGAATGACTTCATAGACCTTATGTCATAGAGATGAACCCTACAGGGTCAATAAGAATTCTAAAATATCAGATAATTTGAGCTTTTTATAACAAGGTTAGTTCAGATTGTAAAATATCATGTGGTGCGACTCTCCAAAAAAAAAAAAGTTATAATATTTATAACTTTATAATTCATGATATTTTTAAAAATACCTTTTTAAAAACTTATAAAAAATAATTATTCAAGGTGCAAGAGAAATATGTAATTACTTTTTACTTGATGGTCACAGTGCCCTTTTAGAATCATTAAAATTTAATAAAAAATAAACAAAACATTAAAACACATATTTAATCTTTTATTACAACCGGTATACAATATTTTAGAGTACATTTATAAGAATCATTTGTTTTTAACTAGATTTTTTTTTAAATCATAGTTTATTTTTAATCAATCCTAGACACTCACATTTGTCACTGACCAAGAAGCTAGTTTGACAGAAATTAAAATATTTAGAGCAAAATGTCAAAGGTTATGTCACTTCATACTGAATCGCAGGGCAACAAGTACTGGCGTTTTGATGGTGACGTCTTGGATGAAGATTACCCAAGAGAGATATCTGTGGGCTTCGAGAAGATTCCAGATGATATTGATGCTGCATTTGCAATCCCAGCTCCAGGTCATCATGGGAAGGAAAAAGTGTATTTTTTTAAAGGTATGCGAAAGTCAAATGAAGGTCATAATAGAGTGCTGTGCGGATTATGTATTATTTTTGTTGGCCAAAACCTGGGAATTTTAGCACTTCTGGTTCCATCATCCTGAAGTCAATGGGTTTTTTAAAAATGGATTTTTGGTGAAACACCTGATATAAAATCTGTGGTTAACAAAAGATCAAGATATTTTCACATCAGTAAACTCCCTTGTGATTTTTTTTTTAAACTGTTACTTTCCAACAAGTGGCTAAATGTGACTCTCTAGTTGCATTTAGCCACTTGTTGGCAAGTAACAGCTTTTGTCAGTGGCAATAAACATCATCACGCCTAACAGGAAAACTCATCTACTAAGTCTGCTTTTACAGCCTTGTTGTGTTTATATTCACACTCTTGCAAACTATTCTAACTCGACCTTTCAGGGAAAAGGTTTTTTTTAAATAAAGAGTGAAAAAGTTGTGGGAATCTTAGGCTGTGTTTGAAATCGCCCCTTATACCCTAAATAGGGCACTATTTGAGGGAACAGACATTTATAGTGGTGTCCGAAACCATAGTGGATGTTATCGAGTGCACTTATTCAATCCCACAATGCACTGTAATAACGAGTGTACAACCGATGTATGCTCAACGGCTAGAGAATACCCATAATGCACTGTGAGAGTCATCCATTTCATTTCATTTCATTTATTATACAGGAAAGGTTAAAAGTAACATTAAGGTACAATTTAAACGGGCCTGACTCAGTTTAAAAACTGGTTTCCAGCAGGTTCCTGTTCTGCAGAAAATAAAACACAATTTACAACACATGAAGTCAGAAACACTTATACAGGACATTAGCATGGGCTAGACAGATACAAACAGGACTCAAATGGATGGATGGATATACATACATACACACATACATACATAAATACATGACTGCTGGTCCAATGTGGGTACAGTGTAATATCATACAGGTATAAATTCCTTTTAAGTGATTATTCAATTGTTTAATCAAGTCTTATACATAGTTTCCATGTCAGAGTTCAAGATAAATCTTTTCATTACTGCTGGAGCTGCCAGTTTGCTAAGTTTCAAATGATTATTAAACTGCAAGCACAAACTATGCAAAAGCTGCAGGCCTTCACTCACTCATTTTCATTCACTCCTTCAAGTGGACTATATTAGTGGGCTAATGTAGGGAATAGTGAATGACAGTTAGTTCATAGCCTACATTTAGCTTTTTTCTTCTGTCGGTTGTATTTAGGGCAACAAAAGTTGTGTTCATTATCATGATGAGCATTTTCAGCAACTATCTAAAAGCCAAAGGAAAACTCCTATTGGGTTTTTGTTGAGGGAACCAGTTTGATGCTGACTTAACGGTTGGCCTTCAAAAATACGTCATCACTGCAGCACTGAAGTATGGTTATTCACATTATGCAGTGGATTTAATCAACGTTTAATGTTTTCCTTTGTCCCACAGGTGACCAGTACTACCAATATGAGTTCAAACACCAGCCTTCCCATGAAGAATGTGACCGCATGACCAAGTCTTCGCCTTCTGTCGCCTTCGCACGTTATACAAACCTGTACTGTGACTTGGATAGCTTGTTTGCTCAGCTCTTTCAAGGCAGTAAGTTTACATGCATACCTTGTTAAAGGGATACTCCACCCAAACATTAAAATTCTGTCATCATTCACTCTCAAGTTGTTGCAAACCTGTATGAGTTTCTTTCTTCTGCTGAACACAAAGGAAGATATTTTGAAGAACGATTGGAACTTTGGCACCATTGACTTCCATAGTAGAAAAAAAAAAATACTATGGAAGTCAATGGTGCCAAAGTTCCAATCGTTCTTCAAAATATCTTCCTTTGTGTTCAGCAGAGGAAAGAAACTCATACAGGTTTGCAACAACTTGAGGGTTAGTAAATGATGACAGAATTTTCATTTTTGGGCAGAGTATCCCTTTAAGCAGATGGTTCAATAAATGCAATTCAATAAATTCCCTGTCCACCCAGTTCAAGGGCATCACAAAGGGCCGCGCTTCATTTCCAAAGACTGGATTGGCATCAAACCTCCCATAGATGCTGCAATGGTTGGCCGACTGTATGTAAACCCTGGTCCTTCACCATCTCCAGCCAGCAGCCTGAGCAGAGGCCGAACCGGACGGAGAAAGAAGACCAGGGGTCGAGGAGCCAGAGTGAGCCGCTCGCCGTTCTGGGAAGACTTTGGATTGGACTATGAGGAAAGGTTTGTTAACTATTGAGGTTTGCTGAGAGTATATTTGTACAGTAGATGTATAGATTATGTGTATCAATATGCGTTATATAGGTATTATGAAGCAGAGAAGAGTAGAAAAAATCAGAAAAAGGGCCGTGGAAGACGTCCATCTTTCTTTGACATGAGCTACGAGCCGATGGACTACATGGATGTGGCGGTCGTCCAAGAGAAGGCCACACCTGTGCAGAACGTCTTCTTCTTTAAGAAAGGTACTTCAGGTCATGATAATGTTCTGTTCATTCTGTTAGGATGAATCCAAAACATGAAGTTTCCTTTTAAGGTGCACTCTGGAAGGTGGGTAAAAACTTAAAAACTTAAAAAAATAAAAAAAAACGTCTTAATTATAAATGTAAGGGGCTATTTTATGATTCAATCACAAATGGCAATAGAGAAATTACATACACTACCGTTCAAAAGTATGAAATCAGTTAAGTGTTTTGAAAGAAAATAACAAATTAACATTTTTATTCAACAATGATTAAACAAATTGATTAAAAGTGTCAGTAAAGACACTTGTAATGTTACAAAAGCAAGGAAGTGCTGTTCTTTTGATCATCAAAGAATGAACAAACTATTAGTAAAAGAATCCTGAAAACATTTATCACCGTCTCCACAAAAGTCAGATTTCCAATATTGATATTATTGATTATCAGAAATGTTTCTTGAGCAGTAAATCAGCATTTTAGACTGATTTTTTGAAGGATCATGTGACACTGAAGACTGGAGTAATGATGCTGAAAATTCAGCTTTGCCATATACATTAATTTTAAAATATATTCAAATAGAAGTTATTTTAAATTGTTTAAAATATGCACATAAATGTAGCTTTATTAAGTGTTAGAGACTTCTTCCAAAAACATTTAAAAAAAACTTACTGACCCCCCAAAAAACAGTAGTGTACATGTTGTTTTAGTAGCAATAAAACACATTGTGTTGATATATTTTTCAACGTTTGTATTAATATTGTGGCATTGCTCCTCTATAGATAAATACTACAGGGTGGACCTGCAGACCAAACACATTGACTACGTAAACCCGCCTTACCCAAGATCCATTGGCAAATATTGGTTGGGATGTAAAGAAAAGGACATGTCAGAAAAAAGATAAGAAACAAGGTTTCCATATTTGCGTCAATAACAAAGATTTTAATGTCATTGCCTAATTAGAAGTCATTTATAAGGATTAATCAGTACTATCAATATAGTTCTCTAAGTATTCCTGATGTGTTACATTATAGTTATATCTGACAATGGTTTTGCATGCAGTAGAACAAAGCTTCTGATCAACGTATTACTATGAATCAATATAATATGATATTGAATGAACTCATGAACTTTTCTTGTTATAAGTATAAAACTGCTGAATAATAATAAACTTTCTGCCCAATGCAACCAGTATTGTCGTATTTTCTCAATATTTTTATATATATGCCTTGTCACCACTGGTGGAATGGATTTTTTTTTCTTTTTCTAATGAACCTATAAAAAATTTGAAGTCTCAGTAGGTATATCTTAAAACCAGCTGGAAAGTTAGTGTAGAGGAAGTGTAAGTGTAAGTTCCATTTCACATCCTTCTTCTCTTTTTCTCTCTTTCCCAATGGTAAGTGCATCCTCTAGTGGCATAAGAGTGTTTCACTCACAGAGACAAGTATGGCCACATAAAAGTGACTGAGTGTATACAGTAGTATTCAGCAATGAGCAGTGTTGGCGAAAGTGACTTTGAAATGTAATGCATTACAATATTGCATTATTCCCTAAAAAGTAACTAACTAAGCTACTTTTTATGGTATGATTACTTTCTCGGCTGAGCATGCTTGCTTGTTTGTTCTTCAGCTATAAAAACAAAGGAAACACAAATGTGATGTTTATCTTGAGTCAGTTTTGCATTATCATATGGTTGAATTGGATCATCGAAGGTCAGCAGCAAAAACACAGTTAAAATTAAAAAGACATGCACTTCTGAGCATATTCATTCACTGATACCAGTTGCCCAACAACATAAGAGTTTATTGAAACATTGAAGTGAAGTGTTGGAATTGCAAGATGTTTTACATTGATAACATTCAAACTTAGTAAGTTCAGGCGAAGTGAAAAAGTGGACAAATTTCCACATTTTAAAAACCCTCTGAGAGTAATTGTTTAAATAAATATAATGCTTCACTTCTAGTCCTTGAAATTGTGAGTGCTACTGAAATAGAGATTTCTGACTAAAGATTTGTATTTGAATTGAAATCGTATCAACTCTAAAGAATGATATGATCAGTAAGTCAACTCATCAACATAATTTAAGCTTCAACTTGAAAAAATTATGAGATTCAGCTAGATTTTTTAAGTCATGTAGTTTAATCAAATTTAAGTTGAAATGACTTGAAATGCAGCAACAAGATTTTTTTTTTTACATGGCAATACATAAACAGAGCAACACCAAATAACAAAACAAAATACAAAGCAGGCAATAATCAATATATACAACCCCATTACCAGAGAAGTTGGGACATTTTGTAAATGCAGTTAAATTAATTATCTGTGATTTGTTAATTCTCTTGAACCTGCATTTAACTGACTAAAAAGATCAATTTGATTGGATATTGTAAATATAACCAAATTTGATTTGAGATTTAACTGCGCTTACACTGTAAACCCTAACGCTCAAAATACCTAATTGGTTTGAGTAGGGAAAACTTAAATTAAACTAATTAGTTCAGTCAAATTAACTTTTATGAGTATTTAGCACTTTCTTTTTCTTTCAAGGTCACAGAATGGATATATTTTAAGTAAACTGAACTGTTTCATTGTTTTGAGTTTTTATGAAATTATTTCTTTTAATTTAGACGAACTTAAGTTTAACTGAAACGGCTGGGATGTATATTTCCCAGCATGCTTTGCTGATGGCACTCGAAAGGGAGAGTAAATGCTAAAATTAAGTGTAATACAATGTTTTGTTTGTGCAAGATTAATGTTAAGCGGGTGATTTAGTAATGATTAATGTTTCGTTATGCTAATTTAGAAGAATTTCTGTTAATGTTGGTTTTAGGATAGTTACCATCATGGTGACAAGTGGTGCATGAGCTTGATTTGAGAGCAAATAAAACCTTTATATTGCTGCAAGTGTTACTGTATAGCATACTATTGTTAAGATGTTAACAAAATAGTATGTTAGCAAACTAGCTTGTTAAAGCTAGCTAAGTTTATACTAATAAAAGTGTTCACATTGAGATTACATGAAATTTTAAGTTAAATGTATGAATTAGTGTACTCAAACATTTCAAGTTAAGAACAATTCAAATGTACAAATACAAAATAAATATATATAATAAAATTATTCGGGTTTACAGTGTAACTGTTAGTGCAATTGTACTTTTTTATTTGTAAAAAAGCATAAATGTAATGCACTACAACTTTACAGGACACACGTGTAATTAAAATTTTCACATTCATGTTCAAACCATCCATTTTAATGGTTTAATCAAAAACATATCTAATTAATTGAATTCATAAAAACAACTTAATAGGGCCCTATGAAATTTTTATTATTTTTTAAAAATAAAATCTGTTTTGTGTATTTAAATTTTTCCGGTTATCAAATGAAGGCATAAAACGTTAATTTATTTTTATACAAATGAAAATTAAACAATCCCTTTAATTGTTTGGCCTTTGTACACAACAGTTAAACTACTGTTAAAATTATAACATGGAACAAATTTTGCTTTAATAATAATTGTATTGTAGTATTACATTAAGATGTACACTATACTATACAAGAGTAATATATTTCTATCGCAGTTTCTTTAAGTCAAACCAAACTTTTATTTTGGAAACCCGTCAAAAACAAAACAAACCCCTTCTTCTGTTTTTTTTTAAAAATTAATGCCAAAAGAAAGAAAATGTGACAAATACATAACAACAGTAACAATAAAACCCAGGACATGTGTAATGAAAACAGTACAAATAAAATAACATAAAGCCAGAAAAAAAACAAATAGATAAATAAAATTATACAAGGTTAAACATTGAAAGTTATCTTTGACTTTTCAAAGATTTTCTGTTTTTATGCCCATCAAAGACAAAACATATGAATTACTGTATAGTCTACCAGAAAAATTGACAGTAGTGGGATCTTACCCAAGAATTTGCATTTGTGAATAAAAAATTTGCCAAGTATCATGAACAGATTAACAATGTACTGGAAATACAAATTTGAATTGAGGTAAAGAAAAAACAATATTAAAGGTGTTAACTTAACTTAACCGCCGGCGGGCCCATTTGCCATTGCATGTTTAAAACAATAATATCTTAGTAAAAACCTAAAGTAATATTGCCAAACTATATATCATTTGAAAGCTTAAAATCTCTAGTTTTCATATTTGGTGGCTGTTATCTAAAATATATTACAGAGGAGCAGAAATTTATCAATTTGCAACAAGAATATTTCATATTCATTAGGAGTATTTAGGCCTTTATTTTGAAATAACAATAAACATGAAAAATCATGAAAGATTGGTAGAAACCTCAGTTTGTTTTCATGCCATGAGTTCAAAAGATAACACCAATTCCATTTTATGAGAAAAAAATGTCTGAAAATGTTTTAAATATAAAGAAAAATTTATGGATTCTCGATTTGTAATGCGGCTGCGAGCTATAACGCTATAACGTAGTCTTTATGCATTTATTAGAGGTTTAATTCAAATCAAATACTGCCAAACCACCCATACTACTTCTGAATAGGATGTCTACTTCATAAATTGTATGAAAATTATGGAAATACATGGTTCAGATCACTCAAAACATATGAAAATGGAGGCGCCCTTATATGGGCAGTAATGGAGTCTGGTGTTCACCTAGTGAAAAAGTTGGGTACTGCGCCCGAATAAAATCTTACTGAAAGCTCATTTTTTGAGATATCAACCTAAAATTTGGAATACAACTTGTTCAGATATTTGACTTTAATTTTCTTGCAGTTTTAGAGTAAAATATATTTTGTAATATATATATTTTATATAAAATATTAATCATTATATTTTTACATTACACAATTTCATAAACTCAAACCTATATAACTTTTTTTCTGTTTCATTTTTTACAATTTCTAGACTTCTACAATAATCTGAAAAATGTCTTCTTTAAAACAAGACCAGCCATAGGTCTATATTCCAAAGCATTCCTGAATTACAACCATTTAAGTTTGGATAGTGATTTTTATGTCTATGCAAAAAAAAGGGGGGTGCCAGTTAACAGGCATATTCTGACATCTGTTTTTTTGCTGAGAGAGATGGGTACATAACTCATTCCAAAAAGCTTTAACACAAACACATTCACAAAAAGATGTACAATTGTCTCTTCTACATCACAGAAAGTGCATTTATTTTCAATGTTTTGGATATACTTATTGAGTGCACTTGAACAAGGGTAGCATCTATGCAATATTTTTTAATGTAATTAATTTTATTTTGTTTGTTAAAAGATATTTGTGTGGAAGAGACCAGACAAGAGTCCAATTAACATTGGATAACGTCATCATCCATTTGAAAGATGATGCTGGAACAGATTTTCTGTTAAAATTGAATTTGTCATCAATAATCAAAACTGAACATTTTTAAATAGAAGTGTTATACAATAGAACTATAGGTTTGCTCTCCTTTCAAGAGAGTTTTTATAACACTAGGAATGACGTTGAATACAATATTATATTCATTTAATGAAGCTCCAAAATCAAAAATTTTTTGGGAGAATTCTGAAGCGGATAATTGTCATCCATCAGCTGATTAACAATATAGGTGTTATTTAAATACCATCTCTCAAAAAATATTGATTTATTTCTGTAAATAATATTCTGATTGTTCCAAATAAAACAACGGTGAGGTGAAAAATTACACTCACCGGCCACTTTATTAGGTACCCCATGCTAGTAACGGGTTGGACCCCCTTTTGCCTTCAGAACTGCCTCAATTCTTCGTGGCATAGATTCAACAAGGTGCTGGAAGCATTCCTCAGGGAGTTTGGTCCATATTGACATGATGGCATCACACAGTTGCCGCAGATTTGTCGGCTGCACATCCATGATGCGAATCTCCCGTTCCACCACATCCCAAAGATGCTCTATTGGGTTGAGATCTGGTGACTGTGGAGGCCATTTTAGTACAGTGAACTCATTGTCATGTTCAAGAAACCAATTTGAAATGATTAGAGCTTTGTGACATGGTGGAAGTAGCCATCAGAGGATGGGTACATGGTGGCCATAAAGGGATGGACATGGTCAGAAACAATGCTCAGGTAGGCCGTGGCATTTAAACGATGCCCAATTGGCACTAAGGGGCCTAAAGTGTGCCAGGAAAACATCCCCCACACCATTACACCACCACCACCAGCCTGCACAGTGGTAACAAGGCATGATGGTTCCATGTTCTCATTCTGTTTACGCCAAATTCTGACTCTAACATCTGAATGTCTCAACAGAAATCGAGACTCATCAGACCAGGCAACATTTTTCCAGTCTTCAACTGTTCAATTTTGGTGAGCTCTTGCAAATTGTAGCCTCTTTTTCCTATTTGTAGTGGAGATGAGTGGTACCCGGTGGAGTCTTCTGCTGTTGTAGCCCATCCGCCTCAAGGTTGTGCGTGTTGTGGCTTCACAAATGCTTTGCTGCATACCTCGGTTGTAACGAGTGGTTATTTCAGTCACTGTTGCCCTTCTATCAGCTCGAACCAGTCTGGCCATTCTCCTCTGACCTCTGGCATCAACAAGGCATTTCCGCCCACAGAACTGCCGCTCACTGGATGTTTTTTCTTTTTCGGACCATTCTCTGTAAAGCCTAGAGATGGTTGTGCGTGAAAATCCCAGTAGATTAGCAGTTTCTAAAATACTCAGACCAGCCCTTCTGGCACCAACAATCATGCCACGTTCAAAGTCACTCAAATCAACTTTCTTCCCCATACTGATGCTCGGTTTGAACTGCAGGAGATTGTCTTGACCATGTCTACATGCCTAAATGCACTGAGTTGCCGCCATGTGATTGGCTGCTTAGAAATTAAGTGTTAACGAGCAGTTGGACAGGTGTACCTAATAAAGTGGCCGGTGAGTGTATGTTTGTAAACCAGTAACCACGATAATAAAAACCTGTTGGGGACATTTTGCTAATTTAATGGGTAGTTTTCCAAGTGAGAAGGGGCACTGTAACAAATTCAATATCTCCAATTTTCTTAAAAACAAAATTAGGAAATATGTTCCATATAAAGTCAACACAAAGTTAAAGTTAACACATCGTGTTAACCAATTTACTTTTAGCACATGGTTAAATAGGGTAAAGTCAACAACTCCAAGACCTCCATCACTAAACCTTGTTTCTTAGAACCTCCTTTTTAATTTTGTGTGATTTATTTTCCCATATGAAATTATATAATAATTTATCAAATCAGGAACATATTGACTTGGGACAATCCATTACAGAAAAGTAAACTAGTGTTTTCCTTGACGCCTCGCCACAGCCAATCACCAGCACTTGATTCGTGCACATCATACTTGATGCATGCTTACTGTTTCACTGACGTTGACAAGATTAACCCCTCAGGTATCCAAATTTGGTACCGAACGACAAGACAGTTTTTGATACTCGAATCGTAACTCGATGGTATCGAGGCAATTCGGTCGGTGCCTAAAAAGTATGGAAGTCGATACCCAGCAACCCTAATACAGATTGGTCATATATGAGGCGCTATATAGATAAAGATGACTTGTCTTAACTCGACTTTTAAAACAAAGCAAATGAAGCTGTGATGACTTGTTTCCAGTCTTCAGTCTCTCATGTTCTTGCTCAGACGTGGACAGGCTCTGATCTCTCTGGTGTGGCGGCTTGAGTTCCTGTCAGGTTGGGGTTGGACTTCAGGCTTCGGGTCGAGTCTCCAGCTCAAGCCCTCCACCGAGGACAGCAAGTGTGTTCTTTCCTATCCAATACACAGATTATATGAACAAGTCAACTCATGAATGATATTTTAAGAGCTGTTTTACAACAGAATTGAATTCTGTTTGCACTGATTCTGTGTTTTCCTGTCTACCGTGAAGCCGCTTTGAAACAATCTGTATTGTACAAAGCGCTATATAAATGAAGGTGACTTGACCATAACAAGAACACAAATTTGAAAATCTCACTACAAACAATCCAGAGTTGAAGACAAATGATAATAATCCTGCTCTGTCTGTTACACTTCCTCACACCTGAAATCACTGATCGAGTGAATCTCCTGAACTTCTCCTGAACTTCTCCAATAGATCGTTTCTAATCCATTGATGTTGGGACATCTGCTCTAACGTGGGCCGTTTCGTTGGATCCCTGGCTAGACACTGGCTAATCAGATCACTGCAGTGCATTCTGTACAAATGTTAACAAGGAGAGAGCTGGTTAGTCATGGGACTTAGAATCTATGAAAACAGCATCTAAAACATGACTAATATAACGTAAAATGTTCCTTATCTTTACTTTAAAATTGAAGTATGTTGTTCCTGCGACACTAGTCGCAGAATTACAAAATAAAGCATATTTTTTTTTAAAACTCGCAGAGGCCCAACTTAAACATGGCAAACCCAGCTCTTACTGGTTCTTGTGAAGGCATGTTTCAGGTCCAACATATTAGAAATACTTTCAGCTGTGTTGCATTTGTCTTTCTGAAAATGTGTCTTTCTGAACGGGTGTATGATGATGCTGTGTGGTATTCAAGCATGCTTTGTAGCGCATAGCATCACAACGCTCTGTTCACTTTGACGTGTTCATGACCTGTTTAATCTTTGAAGGTATAAATGCAGCGAATTTCGCCTTTCACTTCTGTAACTAAAGCTGGATTTCTTTTCCCAAACTCTCGCTCAACGTTGAGCTATATAAAAAAAATCGTACATACTTCACCGTTAACTGTGTCTCTGTGTGTGTGTGTGTGTGTGTGTTTATCAGTGTTTTCAATACTATTCACTCACCTCTGGATAAGTTGGAATTCTGAAATGTAACTTTGGCTTCTATGATTTCCGTTCTACTGCGAAAAGGACGAGATGCGTTCACCATCTCATACAACATCACTCCTAGAGCCCAGACATTTGCTGGGACGGCGTGGAATCTGGGTTCTGTGAAGACTTCAGGTGGGCAGTGATCCTGTCTTCCTGTAAGCAAGACATTTGCACATTGTTGAGCTTTTTTTCTTAAAGCGTCACTACATTCAGGTTTCCACACTCCCAAAATGCTCACCAAGGTATACAGTGGGGGAAATAAGTATTTGACCCCTTGCTGATTTTGCAGGTTTGCCCACTTACAAAGAATGCAACGATCTATAATTTTAATCATATGTACATTCTAACAGTGAAAGACAGAATCCCAAAGAAAATTCCAGAAAATCACATCATATGAATTTATTTAAATTGATAACCATCTGATGAGGAAAAACAAGTATTTGACCCCCTGGACAAACAGTATGTTAATATTTTGTAGAAAAGCCCTTATTGGCCAGCACAGATGTCAAACGCTTTTTATAGTTGGTGACAAGGTTTGTGCACATTTCGGCAGGGATGTTGGCCCACTCCTCCCTGCAGACAGCCTCCAAATCTTTCAGGTTCCGAGGTTGTCGCCTGGCAACTCGAATGTTAAGCTCCCTCCAAAGATTTTCAATTGGATTCAGGTCTGGAGACTGGCTAGGCCACTCCAGAACGTTGATGTGCTTCTTCTTCAGCCACTCTTTTGTTGCTTTGGCGGTGTGCTTAGGGTCGTTGTCGTGCTGAAACACCCATCCTCGACCCATCTTCAGCTCTCTCACTGAGGGAAGGAGATGTTGGTCCAGAATTCCACGATACATGGCCCCGTCCATCCTCCCCTCAATACGATGGAGTTGTCCCGTCTCCTTGGCTGAAAATCACCCCCAAAGCATGATGTTGCCACCACCATGCTTGACGGTGGGGATGGTGTTCTTTGGGTTGTACTCGGTGTTCTTTGCCCTCCAAACACGACGAGTTGAGTTGAGGCCAAAAAGTTCTATTTTGGTCTCATCTGACCACATCACCTTCTTCCAGGCCTCTTCTGAGTCGTCCAGGTGGTGAATGGCGAACTTCATGCGGGCCTGTACATGTTTCTTCTTGAGCAGGGGGACCTTGCGTGCGCTGCAGGATTTCAATCCATGACGGCGTAGTGTGTTACCAACCGTTTCTTTTGTAACTGTGGTCCCAGCTGCCTTCAGTTGATTCATCAGTTCCCCCCTTGTGGTTTTGGGATGATTCCTCACCATTCGCATGATAAGGGACACCCCACGAGGCGAGATCTTGTCTGGAGGCCCAGACCGAGGGAGGTTGGCGGTGGTGTGGTGCTTCTTCCATTTCCTGATAACTGCACCGACAGTTGATCTTTTCTCTCCAAAGTTGCTTTCCGATTCTCTTGTAGCCCATCCCAGCCTTATGCAGATCAACAATCTTGTCCCTGATATCCGTAGAAAGCTCTTTGGTCTTGCCCATGGTGGTGATGTTGGATGCTGGTTGTTTGGGTGTTGACAGGTGTCTTTTATACAGGTAACGAGGTGAGGCAGGTGTATTTGATGTAGATAATTGGTTGGGATTGGGGCTGTGTCTTAAAGAAAGACTAACTGGCTTGTAGGAGCCAGAATACTTGCTGTTTGGTAGGGGGTCATATACTTGTTTTTCCTCATCAGATGGTTATCAATTTTTATAAATTCATATGATGTGATTTTCTGGAATTTTCTTTGGGATTCTGTCTTTCACTGTTAGAATGTACATATGATTAAAATTATAGATCGTTGCATTCTTTGTAAGTGGGCAAACCTGCAAAATCAGCAAGGGGTCAAATACTTATTTTCCCCACTGTATGTCACTCTCGTAGCCCTCACTACTGAATAGCTGACCGCAGCCAAAGTCTATCAGCTTGAGGTCTAACGAGTTTCTCTTCAGCAGGAAATTCTGCGCATGAATGTCATTGTGAAAAACGCCATGCTCGATGCAGTGTTGAACTGCCAGCACAGCCTGTTGCGTGAACACCCGTGCTACTGTTTCACACACTTCAGGATTACGGCGAGTGATGAAGTCCAGCAAGCTCTCGCAGGGTTCGGGGAACTCCATAATGAGAGAGAATTTGCGAGGGTGTTCAAACCACTCGTATAGTTGTATGACGTAGGGGCTTATGGGTTCTCGCCTCATCATTAGCAGCAGCGCCACTTCTGTAATGAGAGGTTCGGGATGTCCAGGCTAGAGAAAAGCAGTAGACAGGAGGTTAGCTGGGTGAAAATCTGACGGAAACATCTCACTTTTCTTTGATCTTTTTAGATACGTTCAAAGAGCTCAAAGTTTTTTCTGTTGTGCCTCGGCTTATTTGTCAATCACATTTACACCTAATGCTTCCTATGGGTGCATTAACTACAGCAATCTGCACTTAAACAACTAAATACATATTCAGGTTTTGGCCGACTTACAATATCAAGATAAAGAAAATTGTCAAGCTTGCGCATCCGCTTGATGGCAACCTGCAAAAAACAAACAAAAAAACAGTTTCAGTAACAGTATTCAAGCACCTGACCTTGCACTAAGTATTAAACCATCTGTACATTGTTTAGAATATGTTTTGATGCGCGCAAAAGCAAAATGTTTGTACAATTCGGGAAGATTTACCATTTTGCCATCAAATTTGCGTGTTCCCCTGTACACACTGCCAAACGCTCCGGATCCAATCATCTCTCCCGCTTTATAGAGAGACTCGAATGACTCTGAGAAACAAAAATAAAAATATGAGAAATATATGAGAGATTGTTTTATTTCAAAAATATCAGTCCCGGTTGTGTCGAGAAAATAATAATAATAATATGGTGAAAATAATATGAATGTTCTCTGAAAACAAGTCTTAAGATATTTTTAGTAGAACACAAGACGACAATACTGTTTAAAATAATGTCGGAGAAATAAGGACTGGCGATTTACCATTATTTGGCTCGACGCCGGAGAGATCTGGTGCAGGTGATGATGATGATGATGATGGATCAGGATCAGGATCAGGTGATGATGGATCAGGATCAGGTGATGATGATGGATCAGGCTCTGGCTCCAGATCTGCTGGAGGGACAAAAGGCTCCACAACATCCACAGCACAACTGTGGCAACAGCAGCAGAAAGAACCCTTCATAGCTTCCCATAGCCAGTCGAGGAAACGACCAATTCTTTTCCTCTTCCTTGTAGGTTTTTCTGAAATGAAGAGAAACATCTCTGATTTTAAATGAATGATATCATGACATAACTTACATTTTACTGTTAAATTCTTATCTATAATGTTACAAATCCATAGTAATGGAAAAATTTCCAAGCTACCCTTCTGCTAAATGCCTGCATAAATGTCCCAAAATCGTATTTCACAACTATCATTCATTTTTATTTATCACATAAGCGACTCAGTAATCCTCGGCACGACGGCTATTTTGACAATTTTGTGAGTATTTGCCAATTCAAGTGCAATAAGTCAGAAATATAATTCTATTTGGGATGGAATGCTGTCTGAGAATCGGCTTTCTGTGCGCGTGTGTTTCTGGTGTGTGTCAGACAGCGCAAGTACCATCGAGGTCACGGCTTATTGAGAGCGTTTTGCTAATGTTTCCATAAAGTTAAGCAATCGTCATTTCTAAATGTTCCCTGAACGTTCACAACGTCCAGTTTTTTCAATGTTTCAAAAATGTTTTTTCTTGGTAAAAGGAAGATTCTATTTTTATCATTTTGGGAACGTTACTTTTGAAGGTTCTCTTAATGCTCTGAAAATGTGCCAATTAAAATATTTCTAAAAATAAACTAAAAAAAAATCACCGGACATTAACATGCTAAAAACTTGAAGCATGAAATAGCAAATTCTCTATCTGTACACTTCACACTGCCCAGCCTTATTTCAGTCTGACCTGTTGAGCTCTTGTTCACAGGAGAAGCCTCCATGGCACCCTGAGCAGTTCGGCCACGTGAAGTCTCTGTTGGCTCTACAGGAACTTGACCCGGCAGCGGATGGCACCGCCACCCTTCCAAGCTGTCGGACCTGGACAAACCGCAGCTGCTGCCACTGTCCTGTTCGCTTCGGCTCTCCGAACTGTCACCACTCCACCTCCATTCCACGCTGTACGAGCCTCTGCTGCTCAGCCTCAACAACTCTCTGCATAACCTCCTCTCCACATTGTCCTCAGAGAGGGACAAAGATGATGACGAGTCTGGAAAATTTCAGACATCAAAAACTGTTTTTTTTTGTAATAATATTTATATGTAAGAATTGGTCAAAGCCTATTCTGACCTCTGCGAGAGTGTTTAGATGAAGTGGACGGACGTCCGTCATCTGGGCTCTTCTGGCTGCCGCTCTGCCACTCCTTCCTCATGTGAGCCGGACCTGTGGACACAGAAACAGACAACTCAGAAGACAAAGATTGTGTTAAATATCCATGAAGATAAAGGTGATGATGAGTCTGTGGAAAATTTCAGACATCAAAAACTGTTTTTTTTTTAATAATATTTATATGTAAGAATTGGTCAAAGCCTATTCTGACCTCTGCAAGAGTGTTTAGATGAAGTGGACGGACGTCCATCATCTGGGCTCTTCTGGCTGCTGCTCTGCCACTCCTTCCTCCTGTGAGCCGGACCTGTGGACACAGAAACAGAAAACTCAGAAGACGAAGACTGTGTTAAACATCCATGAAGCTCCTGGATCTGTGTCTGGGTCGGGTCTGGCAGCGGATCACGGTCATCAGAACCGGGTCTTCAAACTTCCTGACCAGCCGATCCTCTCCTGGATCTGGAGCGGCCTGAGGCAGGAATATTTCACATAGTTAACCAATACTCAATGTCAGTGGTCAATTACAAATTGTTACTATACATAACATAATTTCATATGAAAGGAATCAAATACATGTGATCACTTAGCTGTGGAAATTGGGGGATCAAATTTACCTTGCACAAGTTTCTAAACATTCATTTATTCAATCATTGTACAACAATATAATACCATTTACAAATAAAAAACTAAAGCACTCACCTCCTCTTCCCCCCATGTGAGCCATTGGCATCGTCCAATCTGCAATAAAAACAATACAAAAAACAATACCAAAAAGAACAAAACACAACACTCCTCAGAAATACTAAAAAAATAAGTAAAACAATAAAATAAAAATAAAATAAAACGCCAAACTCCTTCTAACGTAGGAAAAGAACAATTAAATATTATTCTCCACAAAAACAATATGAACTCTTTAAAACATAAAAATATGTAAAGGATATGTGCTCCGATCTTCTTGTAGAATAAAAGTCTCTTCTCAGCTTCAGCTTCTCAAGTTTTGCATAGAAAATACTTTGCAAAAAGTCTCTGAATTGTTCGCCTCGTCTCTCAACCAACTCAGAAAGCGATCTTCAAATGTAACGTTATACACATGCAGCCAGTCAGAATTCACAAACACGCGTCGCTATAGCAACTAAAACTCAAATCATTCATAACCACGCACGTACACCCGAAACGCACATCGAATCTCAAAACATTTATTGAAAAGTAGCTAACTTAAATTTAAACAGTTATTATTATTATATTATTATTATTATAATCCGTGAAATTATTCTTGCCCAAAATCTTCATTAGCTATTCATTCATAATTGAGCAAATTAGCGCCGACTTTGCAAGGCATCCCATGGTCATCGCTTCAAATGCTTGCAAAAAGGCACAAGCGAGGATAAATCGGACATAGTCTTATTATAAAGTCTAGAAGAATTAAATTTCCGCATATAACATAGAGCCAATCAGCTTGCAGTATCACTAATGCGTCATCAAAATGAAAAGAAAAATCTAAATTAATAAAGCCCATTTATGATTTTACCAATCATGGAGTGGAGGATGACGTTCATCATTTATTTTACAATGGTCATTAGCACTATCTTTCTCAAACAATGTTTAACAGATTATTTAAGTTATTAACAGTTTATCTGCGCTGTCATGTGCCGATTCAGACTGAAATATTACGGCGGAGATATTAGGCAAGGCAAGGCAAGGCAAGGCAAGGCAAGTTTATTTATATAGCACATTTCATACACAATGGCAATTCAAAGTGCTTTACATAGAAGAAATTAAAATAATCAAAACAAATAAGAATAATTAAAACAGTTTAGAATAAAAAATCAAATAAAGTAGTACTGGTCCACCCCTATCTGAGATGGAAGAGATTGAGCCGGTTTACGGTGCCACTGGACCTCTAGCCCAGGGACGTACTCTGCTGGGGTGGTGCTACACCAGTAATGCCCAGCGGGGCCCCCACAGATCACGCTTCGTGTGCGCTGTCTGCTGCCGTTACGACGCTCTCAGCGACTTCTTATACAGCAGTATAACTTACTCCTTCACTCGCCTCATCGGAGTGAAGACTCTCCCGCTCTCCTTCAAAATCTCTTCCAGAGATTATAAAAATAAGTAAATAAATAAATTAGAAATTAGAAAACAAACAAAGACAAAACCAGTACAGTAAAAACAGTCGGACGGACAGTGGCACAGTGCTCATTCAGTAAACGCATAGCTAAACAGATGTGTTTTGAGTCAGATGTGTTTATTACCATAGATTAAGAATAATCTATGGTAATAAATCAAAATCATACATCGAAATAAAATGAACTTTATATGAATAAAATTAAATTCTAAACTTTCCGTCATTGACTTCACTTTTCCGATGGAGGGCAAAAACAGCGGTAATTCCCCCCGATATTTTAATTACATGAATTCCTAAATTTCTTTTAAATCAAAATCAAAGAAATACATCTGAATTAAATAAAATTAAAATATATATTTTTAATTGAAGTGGTGTTAATTGCAATGAACTGCGAATTCATTAAATTATTGTACCCAATTAGATAGCTATGATGAATAAGGCTTTGAAAATTAATAATTCCACGAATTATAAAAACGTGAAAGTATCTAAAAAAAATCCATTAAAAGTACAGTAAAAAAAATCTGGTTGCAACATTTTATGTTTTATAGATATACAGTAAGAAACCGTATTACCAAATATAATGTTAATTTACCAACCTATAAAAGTGCAAGGCTATTATCGGTTACTAACCATCAAACATTGATAGAAATCAATGTTTTTTTTGTGTTTTTTTGCTGCTGATTGTACAGCACTTTGGTCTGCAGGTGCAGTTGTAAAGTGCTTTATAAATAAATTTAACTAACTAACTAACTAAACACAAAGGTGATGAAAGTTATGGGATGAATCAATCATCACAAGCATCTTTTCCACAAGTTGAGAAAGTTAATGATTTTAAAAGAAAGTACACAGTGTGACACATTGTCATGATTCTGCCATCTAGTCCTTGTCGTTCTTTAATTCTTGAGGCAGGATCATGACAGACCCATGTTTTGTGTGCAAGCACATAGCCTTTTGTTTGGGCCATGTGCTTGTGTTGTCTCGTTCTCTTGCCCCGCCCCCTTGTTATCCTCGTTTTGTCATTATTGCTTTACCTGTGTCACCTGTTGTTTTATCATTAGTCTCTCTATTTAATCCCCTTGTGTTTGCTATCTTGTGCCGGTGTTCTGACGATTTGTGCTGCCTTGTCGAAAAATGCTACCGTAGCGCGAATCGATCACAGAATGTCGATTAATATTAAATGAAATACAATTATAACACAATTCTAAGTTATGAGTAGCTACTGTATACTGTAGACTACTGTTTTTATTTTTAAAACGGTGTGAAAAGTAAAAATTATCTTCAAATATTCATCTTTGACTTGTTAAAGCACACCTTTCCTTAGTAACTGAAACTTTCAGTTATTCTTGTTCAGCTGACTGACCGTACAAATATTCATATGGTAGTTGGCATTTTTAAAAGGGAAATTACTTTATAACACATGAAAATGTACCTTTTGTTAAAAAAAAACTGAGTCTGCACATGCGCATAACCAGTAAGTAGCAAATCTCGATGGGTAGCATGAATCGTCAGAACACCGGTTCATTGTGATTCTCAGTGTGTAGACCTTCCCGTGAGTACCTTGTGAAGAACTCTGTCTTGTAAAATCCTGATCTTGTTGCTGTTAGTTGTCTAGTTATCTGTCAAGTCTTAGTCTAGTCTAGTCTAGTGTTGTTAGTTTTTGTTTTTGCCCACCAGCCTTGTTTTGCCCCATCGTGGGTTTTGTTTTCCCTGTTTTGTCTGAATAAAACGAATCGGTTACCTAACGTAACCTCGGTTCTCTCTAGAAGAGGGAACGAGTATTGCGTAAGCTAGCTTACGCTGCGGGAAAGATTCATCTTTGCTGAGAGTTTGAAGCCAAAAAATTATTTCATAATTTGTATCCATTGACAACGCAGTTCCTCTGCGGCAGACCTAGAGCAGGCTAGCTAGCAGCTCATTGGTTCGCTCAGACAGAACTGCTTAAGCCTATGGGAGAGCGGGGCTGAACCCGCTGCCAATGAGAAGCGCCCGCGCGCTCATTGCATCATGGCCCGCCAGAATGGGCGTGGCTATGGTGTATATAACAGTCTCTCCCAGGCTTATATGTTGATTTATTTCAGCGTGAAGCGAAACGCTAGTAGCGCAAGCACGGCCGGGAACGCAATACTCGTTCCCTCTTCTAGAGAGAACCGAGGTTACGTTAGGTAACCGATTCGTTCTCTTACGAGAGGTTCTCTCGTATTGCGTAAGCTAGCTTACGCTGCGGGAACACCTGGTCAACGCCGTGCGCGCTATGAATCCACTCATGAATCCCAGGGTGATACCGGGGGATTTTTAACGTGGAGTGAATGTAATATGAGGCCGGCAGAGCGGGCACATGAAGTGTATACATAAGCATCTAAGGAGAGCACAAGGGGCGAACCGGTTGTGTGAGGGACTCCCAGTAATGCAGCTTCTTAGGGAGCTGATCGTTAGACAGCTAGTAATTTTGCCTGCAAGGCGGGAACTTCCAAGTTGTAAAATCTGACAAAAGTGGACGGGGAGGCCCATCCCGCGGCCACACAAATGTCATGAATGGAAATTCCACAGGACCATGCCCACGATGAGGCCATGCCTCTAGTGGAGTGCGCCCTGATGCCCAGAGGGCAGGGCAGGCATTTAGATGCGTAAGCAGAGGCGATAGCGTCCACTATCCATCTAGACAGTGTCTGTTTAGAGGCGGCCAGACCTTTGGTGCGCCCCCCAAACGACACGAAAAGCTGCTCAGCGCGTCTGAACGCGGCAGCGCGCGTAGTGTACAATCTCAGAGCCCGCACCGGGCAGAGGAGATTGGTGTCGCGCTCACTATCGGATGAAGGCAGAGCCGATAGGGAAATAATCTGAGCCCTGAACGGGGTACCAATCGCCTTCGGGACATAGCCATGCCTAGGTTTGAGAATGACAACAGAATCATTCGGTCCAAACTCAAGACACGCGGCGCTGGATGAGAGCGCGTGAAGATCCCCCACGCGTTTTACTGAGGACAGAGCCGTCAGAAAAACGGTTTTGAGCGAGAGGTATTTTAGGTCCACAGACTCGAGCGGTTCGAACGGGGGTGCTTTCATAGCTTCGAGAACTATAGAAAGATCCCAGATAGGAACCGAAGGGGGGCGCGGAGGGTTCATCCTCTTAGCTCCCCTGAGGAAGCGGATGACTAACTCGTCTTTGCCCAGGGACTGAGCGCGTCGGGGTTCAGAGAACGCCGCGACTGCTGCCACGTAAACCTTGAGAGTGGAGGGGGACCTGCCCTTGTCCAGCATCTCTTGAAGGAAAACAAGCAAAGACGGCACCTCGCATGACCGTGGGTCCAGATGTTTGTCGGTGCACCATTTTGAGAACACAGACCATTTAGACGCATAGAGCCTTCTCGTGGAAGGTGCTCTAGCCTGTATGATAGTGTTTCTTACTCCCTCTGGCAAATCGACGAATAGTCGTTGATCACCCATGCATGTAGCGCCCAGCGCCGTGGATGGGGGTGCCAGATCGTGCCGCGAGCTTGAGAGAGGAGATCTGCTCTGACTGGGATGGGCCACGGGGCTGTCTGAGACAGCTGAGTGAGCTCCGGAACCCAATTCTGACTCTCCCAACGCGGGGCTATGAGGAGCACCGAGTGGCGTGTGTCCCTGATCCTCTGAATTACCTGCGGTAGCAGAGCGATCGGAAGGAATGCATAGAGCGGACGGCGAGGACATTCCTGGGCTAGCGCGTCCTCGCTCCTTGAAAAAAATATTGGGCAGTGAGCGTTCTCTTCTGACGCGAAAAAGGGCCACTTCTGCTCTGCCGAATAGCCGCCACAGTATTTGGACCGTTTGTGTGTTCAGGGACCATTCTCCTGTGGAGATGAGGTTCCTGGACAGTATGTCTGGACCGTCGTTCAGATGGCCCGGCACATGCGTCGCTCTGAGCGAGAGCAGGCGGCTCTGAGACCAAACTAGAATGCGGTGTGTCAGTAGGAAGAGATTCCTGGATCTGACACCGCCCTGACGGTTGAGATAGGAGACCACAGCCATGTTGTCCGAACGGATCAGGACGTGGTGTCCCCGAATGAGCGGGAGGAAGCGCGAGAGCGCGTTCTCGACCGCAAGCATTTCCAGACAGTTTATGTGTAAGGGGCTTTCCTGTGTCGACCAATGGCCGAAGGCCGGTGAGCCCTCGCAGACTGCACCCCAACCCGTGTTGGATGCATCTGTCGAGATGACTTTTCGGCGGGAAAAGGTCCCCATCGTGACGCCCTGCCGAAACCATTCTGCTACTGTCCATGGCTGCAGCGCCGTGAGACATGTCTGCGTAACCCTGATCAGCCTGGCGGCCCGTGTTCCACGCGCGGTGGGGTACACGGCTGTTTAACCAAAGCTGAAGCGGGCGCATGTGCAGAAGGCCCAGCTGAAGCACAGCGGAGGCTGAGGCCATGTAACCCAGCATCCTCTGAAAAGTTTTCAGAGGTGTGCGGGTGCCCATCTGAAACGAGGCGGCTAGTCGCTGAACACTGCGCGCGCGCTGTGTGGACAGGCGAGCCGTCATCGTGACCGAGTTCAAATCTATTCCTAGAAAGGAAATCGATTGACTGGGTTGAAGGGAGCTCTTTGTCCAGTTGACAGAGAGGCCCAGCGTTTTCAGATGGTCGAGGAGAACTGCGCGGTGCGACAGAAGCTCCGTCTGTGATTGGGCCAAAATCAGCCAGTCGTCCAGATAATTCAATATGCGCAGCCCCTGGCTCCGCAGGGGGGCGAGCGCCGTATCCATGCACTTCGTGAATGTACGGGGCGCCAGGGATAAGCCGAACGGGAGAACGGCGTATTGATAAACATGACCCTCGAAGGCGAAACGTAAGAATGGCCTGTGACGGGGATTTATCTGGATCTGAAAATAGGCGTCTTTCAGGTCTAGAGAGATGAACCAGTCCCCCTGGCGCACCTGCGCGAGGAGTTTCCTGGTAGTGAGCATCTTGAACGGTCTCTTCATGAGCACTTTGTTCAAAAACCTGAGATCTAAAATCGGTCTGAGGCCGCCGTCTTTCTTGGGAACCAGAAAATAACGGCCGTAAAACCCCGACTCGGTCATAGATGGCGGGACTCTCTCTATGGCGCCCTTTTGCAACAGCGTCGCAATTTCTGAGCGGAGCGTGCCGGCGGCCAGCGGGCTGACAGTAGATTCGAGCCGAGCGCGCGCACGAGGCGGGCGGCGGCGAAACTGTAGCAAATAGCCGTTCTTTATAATGCTTAGCACCCACGGGGAAATGCCTGGAATGGCTTCCCACGCTTTGGAGCATGCGGCTAGTGGCCGAATGGCTATATCGCCCTGATTGCTGCACATAGCGGGCTGGACACAGTGTGTGGGCGCGCTTTGAATGTGTGTGGCAACGGGACTTGCACTCAGAGAGGAGTCTATGGGCCGTGAAACAGACCGAGCAGAGAGGGGACACGCGCATGAGCTCGTGGGCGTGTTTATGTTCTCTGATATTAGAGCGGGCTGTGCCCGTTTCATGTGATGGGGCTCTGAGAGAGACACGGGATATGTCATGCTTGTGTGTATGGGTGAACACATGATTGTGGGCACATTTTCTACACAACTGGCATATTTTCTCTTTTTGAGATTTCTCTGGGTAGCCGTAAAAACGGCTTTTGGTCGCTCGCAAGCGGGCTGGGACACCGGCTTGTTTGTGGCAATAAACACTACAGCAGTCGGCGAAACAACGGGGACTGGCAGAGGGCGAAGCTTTGACGGCGGTCCGGCCGCAGCGGGAGAGCGCCGTCGTTTTCTTAACTTTGCTAGGCAGACTTCTGATGATCAGGCTTCAGCGTGATCTTGGGTCGCGGGCCCCGTGGGGGCGGCGGTCTGCGGCGGCTGTCAGAGCGAGAGCGAGGGCGGCCGCCCTGTCTGCGCTGGGCTGTTTGAGTCTGCGGAGGAGGGCGCTGTGGTGGAGCTCTGGCAGGAGGCTCGCGAGAGCGGCCTGCGGAAGAGCTAGCGCGGCGGGGCAGAAACAAATTCATGGCCTGAGTGGCTTTCTGGACCTCGGAAAAGCGATCGACGATTCCCGTGACAGCAGATCCAAAAAGGCCCGTCGGGGAGAGGGGCGCGTTAAGAAACGCGGCGCGCTCAGAATCTCCCATGTCGGCGAGCGTGAGCCATAAGTGTCTCTCGGATACACAAAGGCTGGCCATGCATCTCCCCAGAGCTTGTGCGGCGGCTTTAGTGGCGCGAAGGGCGAGGTCCGTAGCACTTCTCAGATCCGTGACAGCGGAGGAGGGGTTTCTACCGCTCTCGGCCCACTCACGGAGAATATCGCTCTGTAACACTTGGAGGACAGACATAGAATGCAGCGCTGCGGCGGCCTGACCGGCGGCGGCATAGGCGCAAGCATGAAAGCTCGAGGTCGCTCTGCAAGCTTTCGAAGGAAGCGTGGGGGAAGAGCGCCATCTAGCAGAGGGCGGGCAGAGGTGTGCGGCGACCAAGTCCTCAACGGGCGGCATGGCTAAATAGCCTTTTTCGGCGGCTCCGTCCACCGAGCGCAGCGAGGCGGATATATCAGAGCGGTTTCTAGCCGAGAGCGGGGCATTCCAGGACTTCGTCAGCTCTGTGTGAAGTTCAGGCAGGAATGGGGCGGCCCGGTTGCACGCGGGGGTCGAGCGCCGATGAAAAAAGCTGCCGTCCATCCGGTTCGGGGCCTGCTCGGGTGGAGGAGACCACTCGAGA